ACTACCAGTTGCAGAGATTTTTATTGTATGCTCACCTCAACCCTGTATAGTAGACTATCCCATTTTACATTTTAAAAAAGAGGTTCAGTGAACTTGCCTGACTTGTCCCTGTGCTTAGCAGTTTCCAGGACTAAAATCAAGCCTTCAGTTCCTATCCACAATCTGTTGTACTAAACACTGCAGAGTACAAAAACAAATTATATGAAACTAATCCTAGGTATGAATAAAAAGGAAGACTTTGCATCAGCCTACAAAAATTATGCCTTAGAGATTCTTCTTAAGATTTATGGTCTTTAATCACCCTGCAGAATACACACTATGAAAGTAATTCTCCATATTTTTTGTTTCTGTGAGAACTGGAATCTAGACCCTGCATATTTGCACCTGTTAAGTGGAAGGTGGGGTTTCCAGTTCAGGTGCTATTTGGAACTTCTGGATGGAGTTGTCATGGGAGAGCATCAAGACAAATCAGCCCCTGTCAAGAGATTTATGAGGAATTCTCCACAGACTTATCAAGTCCTCCCAGGAACTGAAGCTTGAACACCCAGACAGAAAATGCATTGAAAATGAGCATTTCAGAATTTACAAAATGTATGTAAATGGACCATCCTCTAGGAGAAGTAACATTACTATCCACTTTTTTGAGTGTAGGTCTTGTATAGTGTATGGATTTCCTTCCAAGAAGTACCATATGGAAAAATAAGGAAAGAGGAACTTCACAGTGGAGAAACTTGACCAACACAACCTCAGCCAGGTGATCAAAGCTAACATCAGTAGTGAAAAGTCATGTGTGTGCTCTTTATAAATTATGATGGGAGTGGCTTTCTTCTTCTCCACAACACATCCCAGACTAATCATGAGAAAAACATCTGGTAGATCCCATTGAGAGATATTTTGCAAAATACCTGGGTAGTACGCCTCAAAGATTATATGGAGACCTGATGACAAATGTATTTGTAGTGGTGAAATGCAAATTAAAAACACAAATTGATATTATTACACAATAGCCAACAGTACATAGTTCTAGTGGTAACAACTACTGCTGAGGAGCTGAGAATACAAAGCAACCAGATTCTCATATGCTGCATGTGGGAATAGAAACTGGCATAGCCATTCTAAATTTTGCAATTTTCTACAATGGAAGAATCAATAAGCTGTGGTAGTCGCTGCAATGAATACTATTCACCCCTTAAAACTAATAAACTTGATGCACACAACTTAGATGAATCTCAAAAGTTCACTGTTGTGTGTGTGTGTGTGTGTGTGTGTTCTTTTTCTAACAAGAATTCAAGTAGGGAAGTGTGAAGTGGGTAAAAGGAGGGCAGGGGTATGGGAAAAAATAAGAATCCAGATTCACCATGCAGAGCTAGAAGATCCCAATGATGAATGTAACTGTAATGTTTGTTTTAAATGTACCAATAAACTTAATAGAGATAAAAAGAGTTCAAAGGTTGCATAGTTTATGATTCTATTTATATGACGTTTCTAGACAAAACTATAATGATGGAAATCAATACGATGACTGCTAGTGGATGGGATTGGGAGAGGAATATGACTGTAAAGTGAAGGATTATTAGGGGGGTCAATGGAGCTTTTCTGTGTTCTAGTGGTAGTCATGGTTATATGAATATACACATTTTAAAACTTGTAGAAGTATTCATTAAAGCAAAACAAAACTCATTTTACTATGTTTAATTTAAAATACATAGAGAAACACTAGACAACCAGCTCATCTCTATAAAAAATGGTTTTTTAACAGAGGATCATGAACACCTACTTTGAGAACCTGTACTCTAATAAAATGGAAAACACAGAAGAAATGGACAGATTTCTAGATACTTATGAATTACCAAAGTTGAACGAAGAAGATAAAAACATTTTAAACACCCCAATCACAATCAGTGAAATTGAAAATGTAATTAAAAACTTACCAACAAAGAAAAGCCCAGGTCCTGATGGATTCACTGCTGAATTTTACAAGACATTTAGAGAAGAACTACTACCATTACTCTTCAAACTTTTCAATGAAATTGAAAGAGAAGCTATACTTCCAAATTCATTCCTGGAAGCAAGTATCACTCTGATTCCCAAACCAGAGAAAGATACAACCAAAAAGGAGAACTACAGACCAATCTCCTTAATGAATATAGATGCAAAAATCCTTAATAAGATACTAGCAAACAGAATACAGAGGATTATTAAGAAGATCATCCATCATGACCAAGTCGGATTTATTCCAGAGATGCAAGGGTGGTTCAACATACGAAAGTCAGTGAATGTAATACATTATATTAACAAAGTCAAGGACAAAAACCATATGATCCTCTCAATAGATGCAGAAAAAGCATTTGATAAAATTCAACACCCATTCATGATAAAAACCCTGCAAAAAATTGGAATAGATGGTCTATACCTCAATTTAATAAAGGCTATTTATGAAAAACCATCAGCCAACATCATATTGAATGGCCAAAAACTGAAAACCTTCATGTTAAAATCAGGAACAAGACAAGGATGCCCACTATCGCCACTTCTCTTCAATATAGTTCTGGAAACATTAGCCACAGCAATTAGACAAGAGAAAGAAATTAAAGCAATAAAGATAGGAAAGGAAGAAGTTAAACTATCATTATTTGCTGATGATATGATACTCTACATTGAAGATCCAAAAAACTCCACCAAAAAACTTCTAGACTTAATTGACAGATTCAGTAAAGTATCTGGATACAAGGTGAATACCCAAAAATCAATAGCCTTTCTATACACAAATAACAGACAGACAGAAAGAGAAATAAGGGAAAAAATTCCTTTTACAATAGCATCCAAAAAAATGAAGTATCTAGGAATCAATCTAACAAAAGAAACAAAAGATCTCTACACTGAAAACTACAGCACTCTGAAAAAAGAAATCGAAGAGGATATAAAAAAATGGAAAGATATCCCCTGCTCCTGGGTAGGAAGAATCAACATAGTGAAAATGGCCATACTACCGAAACTGCTATATACATTCAATGCAATGCCAATTGAAATTCCAACACTATATTTCACAGAACTAGAAAAAAGAATCCAAAAATTCATTTGGAACCACAAGAGACCTAGAATAGCAAAAGCCATTATAGGCAACAGTCACATGGCACCAGGTGTAACAATTCCCAATTTGAAACTATACTACAAAGCCACTGTGATAAAATCAGCATGGTACTGGCAAAGAAATAGGCCTGAGGATCAATGGAACAGACTGGAAGACACAAAAACAAATGCAGATGTACTCAGCTACCTCATCTTCGACAAAGGAGCTCACCATCCTCAGTGGAGGAAAGATAGCCTCTTTAATAAATGGTGTTGGAAAAACTGGATATCAACCTGTCACAGATTAAAATTAGACCCTTATCTTTCGCCATGCACTAAATTAAAATCCAAATGGATTAAAGATCTAAATATTAAAACAGAAACATTAAACTTGCTGGAAAGTAAGTTAGGCAGAACTCTGGAAGACATTGGTATAGGAAAAGACTTTATGAACAAATCCTCAGTAGCACGGGAACTAGCAGAAAGAATCAACAACTGGGATCTCATCTTACTAAAAAGCTTCTGTACTTCAAAAGAAACCATTAGCAGAACTAAGAGACAATCTACAATGTGGGAAAAAATTTTTACCAGCTGTACCTCAGACAAAGGACTATTATCAAGGATATATAAAGAACTCAAAACAATCAGTCCCCCCAAATATAAAGACCCGATCCAAAAATGGGCATCCGAAATGAACAGACATTTCTCATACAAAGAAGTGAAAGCAGCAAGAAAATATATGAAAAAATGTTCCACATCACTGGTCATTCGAGAGATGCAGATGAAAACAACACTGAGATTCCACCTCACCCCACAAAGAATGGCTGCTATCAAGAAATCACACAATAACAAATGTTGGCGGGGTTGTGGGGAGAAAGGAACCCTCCTCCATTGTTGGTGGGAGTGCAGACTAGTGCAACCACTATGGAAATCAATATGGAGATACCTCAAAGAGCTTGGACTGGAGGTTCCATTTGACCCAGCCATCCCTCTGTTGGGTATCTTTCCAAGAGAACTAAAAGAATCATATCACAGAGAAGTATGTGCACCCATGTTTATAGCGGCACAGTTTGTAATAGCTAAATCTTGGAAACAACCTATTTGCCCATCCGTTGGAAACTGGATAAAGAAGATGTGGTTTTTCTATAAAATGGAATATTACTCAGCCATAAAGAGCGAGAGAATAGATTCATTCATAGGAAAATGGATACATATTGAAGATATACTCCTAAGTGAAATAAATAAGTCCCACATGTGTAAATACCAAATAGTTTCCCTGGTGTGAATATTCTGCAACAATGCATAAGATTCTAATAAGATTACTGACATTTAGAAATGGGAGGAAAGGAGCTAAAGGTGTAGGGAAGGTGTGATACGTAGGGGAAGAACAAAAAGGGAAAAGAAAAAAATGTGAGAGAATGAAAAGATGAAAATAAAGTGTTTGTAGATGGGGAGGGGAGGAGGGGGTGAAGGGAGGGCAGAGGTAAGGGGAAAAAAATGAGAATCAAGACTTGCCATGTAAAGGTACATGATCCCAACAATGAATGTAACTGTACTGTATCCCTAAATGTACCAATAAACTCAATAAAAAAAAAATGGGATTTTAGAAAATGCCTCTTCTGGACTCAGGAAAGTTTTAGCCTTCTTCACATGGAGGAAGAGGTGGAGACTGCTCTGTGGGCCTGATTCTGTGACTGCTCCTCTGAAAGGGGTGGGGATACTTCAGGATTGTCAGTTACACTGTGCATGATTTTCCTTGTGTTGGTGTTTCAGTCAGTGAAATGCCTAAAAGAAATTTTGCAACTTTCAAATGTAAAGCAAAAATTGTGTAACCTTATGTTAGGATTGCTTTCTCAAATTTATTACTAAGCTAATAAGTCAGAGTCCCTAAAAGGATGATAATTAATTCCTCAAAGGAGCTTAATCTAGGTATTTTATAATTTTATGAAAATCTTATATTCTTTGAGCTTCTGTGAAAAAAATCCCATCTGTTTCTTAAGAGATGTCTGTTCTGAATCTTGAATGAGATCCTCCCAGTATATGTGTGTGTCATACTTATCTGAATTTGATATTGGTGTTGAACATTTGTTACCGCCTGTAGATTATGTTGCAGACATTCTATGGAATAAGCAGAAAGAGGAATAGACATAAGTATGGCAACTATTCCCTAGGAACATGACGTTATAGTATAAGGAAAAACATACCTATGCATGTTATCTCAATTATTTGAATTGCCTCAGCATCAAGACAAACTACAGACTTACTGGTCTGGAAAGAAATTAAAATTTTAAAACTCTATTTCAAATAGTTTTTTGTTTTAGTAAACTGTAATTAGCTCTTGGAAGAGTTTGTATGTATCCTTACAATGAACAATATTCACAGGGTTTCGAGGAAGCAAAAGGAAGTTACCAAGGTGGGCCTAGCCATGACTCCTTGAAAGATGATACCCTGGCCTCAGTGGTAGAAACAGAAACAGTGGCACTGAAGTGAGACAGGGTGGCATGTCTATCTACTATGAGATCATATCCATTAAGAACACGAGAGGCCAGTTCCCATGTTTCACACCTGTAATCACAGCTGCTCAGAAGGCCAAGTAAGGAAGATTCCAAGTTCAAGGCTGGCATAGACAACTTAGCAAAACCTTATCTCAAAATAAAATTCGTGGTGTGGGGGGTATATCTTAGTAATGGAGTGCTTGCCTAGCAAGCAAAAGCCCCTGGGTTTAATCTTCAGTGCCACAAAAAAATAAAAATATATCATTTTTAAAAAGCAAGAGAGTCTTTCTCCTAGAAAATATCTGCAAATCATCAAATCTAGAAAAGGACTTGCATCCAAAATATATAGAGAATTCTTAAAACTTAACAATAATTAACCACACCCAGTTAAAAAATAGATAGAATTGAGAGAGCTTGGGTACCTTGAACCTACTGTAATAACTGGCACTTGAGAAATGGAGATCGGTCCTCTATTAAGTGTTTTAAACCCTCTATTAAGTGTTTTATATCCAGAGTGGGATCATGGAGCTTTTGTTAAATCGAATAGCTGCAAGGGGGCCTCAGCTTGAGCAGAAAGCCTATGTTTAAAAGGTTGTAGTCACTGATTAGTTAGCAGAGATACCCACTGAGTCCCCTGTTACTAATATCTGAAGCAAAGTCTGCCTTGTGAACAACCTTACTGTGCCCACAAGACAGCAAGGTACAGTAAAACTGTCAAGCTCTCAGGGCAAGGGTAATTTGGGCTAGATTCTAAGGCCTACCACTTAGTACTCTCTATCCTGGCCATATTATTGATGCTTACGAATCTCTATATCTAAAATAGAGGTAAAATTAACTATGGCATTCGGTTAATGTGCTGATTGAAGGTATTGCTATATTTGTGGTCTTCTGCATGTAAGCCAGGCATCAAATGGGTCTTAGGACCACTTATAAGCCAATAACCCTATGTGCAGAGGGCAATGAGTAGACAGACCATAGGATCCTAAACTCCAGACTTCTGCCCAAAAAGTGAAAAGAGACCATCACAGGGTTGAGGAGAACTGATCCCAATAGCTCTGAAGGTCCTTAGACTGGGATGGGTCTCACAGCATCTGTGCCCACTGTGATGGACAGCATTACCTGGGCCATTCATGTGAGGGCTGCAGTAGCAAAGTACCATAACCTGTGTGACTAAAGAAAAATTGGTGTTTCACGTTCTAGAGACTGGAAATACAAAATCAAGGCATCAACTGGGCTATGCTTCTTCTGAAACCTTGGGGAATCTTCCCTTACCTCTGTCTAGTTCTGATGTGTTTGCCAGTAATCATTGGCATTCCTTGGATTGAGCTCCATCACTCCAAGTCTCCATTTTCACACACCATTCTCCTTCCATACCTTCACTTTTTTTCCCCTTGCTTGTCTGTCTCTGTCCATATTTTCCCTTTTATAAATATAATAGTCCTGCTGGATTAGGGCCCACCCTATCAATTTCATTTCAACTTGATGGCCTCTATAAAAACCCTGTCTCCAAATAAGATCATGTTCTGAGGAATTGGCAATTAAGATTTCAGCATACTTTTTGTTCAGGGGACATAATTTAACCTGTCACACCTAGTTAGTGTTAAACAGAGGTCTTTATTTCTGTTTTGTATTTGGTGTGCTTATAAGTAAAATTGCTGCTTATTTTATAAAATAAATGTTCTATTTTTTTTTAATCCAAAAGAAAATTCTAGAGAATGCAATTAGAAGGAAACTATTCTTCCACAATGCCCAGGTCTTGCCTTACTATGTACATAAGGAGAAGGCAGAGAGGTAGGGTACAGGAACAGGCAAATCTGTATCCTACAGGAGAAAGGAGGAAGGCTGAGGAAGCTGTACCCAGGAGTCCTGCCCAGCTGACTCCCGTGGCCCTCAGCAGCCATACATGTGATGCTTTCTCCTTACCAGAACTGCCAGAAAATTCTGGAACTTCTTACAGTGGCTCACCCTAGGAGTGGGCAGTGCTAGGAGTGGGCAGTGCCAGGATTGGCTCATTTCATTGCAAGTTACACTTCGTCAGCTCTACAGTCTAGTGGCAAGCCTAAAGCATCTAGGAAGTAAAAAGCAGCATTCTAGGAAGCAAGAGCCCCACAATACTTTCAGGCCATGGAGTGGATGGGGCCAATGGCTCCCTCTCAATTCCTGCCATGGCTACTTTCTCTATTCCTGTAGTTTTCTCTCCTTTGCCACCTTGTCTCCCTGTTACCCTTTACTCTTACCTGTATGATCACTTACACAAATATCCCACATTTGCATATAAGCTGGTGTTTTTCTATCACAGACCTGATGCAAAGACAATTTCTGGACAATACCTTTTAAATAAGTATCACGAAGAAAGGAGGAGGAAAATAAATTATTTTGGTATGGGGTGTGTTGAATGTCACATGCTTTGGGGCTATCCATGTGGCACTGTCAGGTGCTCAGAAGAGAAATGGGCCAAAGAAACTGGCATAAAATGGTACCTAAGATCTTGGGAGTCAATGAGATTGATGCAAGCAGGTAGAATAAGAACAGAGCCCCAGGGAGCACCAGTTTGCTCAAAGTGGGACAGACGGTGGGGAGCCAGGAGTGAAGACTGAAACGTTAGATAAATAAAAGGAGATCTATGAGGGATGTCACAAAAGGCAAAGGAGCATACCATTTCAGGAAGATTACTAATCAGCCTGTCACATGCTGCCTCTATATCATCAAATGTGGTGTTTATCTTGCCAGAGTCAGTGGTGTCTTTGTCTAGACCATTTTGGCAGAGTGGTAGACGGGAAAAGCCTGAGCACAGTGGGGTTTTGGAGGGAAAAAACCAAATGGAGACAGTGAGTGTAAGTTATTCTTCTGAAAAAAAAAAATGTCTGTGAATGGAGAGATACTTGGTGGTAGCTGACAAGGAATGCAGAATTTAGGAAAGAAAATTTTTCAGCATATTTACAAGTTACAGGGAAGGAACCAGTACCAACAAAAGACTGAATCTCTTAAGGTAGATATCAATAACTGATACATGAAGGATCCTGAGTGGAAGGGAGGAGGTGATATCCAGAGATGGTGGAATTTTGAAAACTAGGGACACTTTTGTTTTGCCTGCTGTGTGTGTATATGTGTGTTCGCACATGTGCATGTTTACCTAGAGACTAGAAATGTTCTAAGGAATAGTATGGTGTAAAACTTTTTCATTTGAACCTTTCCTTGTAGGCCATAGTTGGTATAGCAGAGACTGATGTTGAAGTTTTGACACTAACAAGCACAGGGAAAGTGAGATATTCAGAAATAGGAGGAGCCAGGGAGAGAATGGTAACTGAATCCCCAAAAATGCAAAGTTTCAAAGTAGAGGATATCAAGACAGGTCTTTATGTTCAAAGGTTTTAATGGGCGCAAAACTACCAAAGCAAGCCAAGGACTGTGGGGTGCACATGTATGGAAGCAAAATCAAAGAAACTGTAAGAATAAAGATATTGCTGGAGGTTGATGGTGTATAACCAGTCACCTGGATCAGTCAGACCAGCGAGAAGGAAAAATTGGGGCAGAAAATGGAGAGATTTGTCACTGCAGAGATGCTCTTCCTCTCTTCTCTGAACAAAGTACGACTCATAGTGTTATCAAAAGGGAGCAAGAATTTGGTAAGAGGCTGGGGGAGAAGATAAAGTTCTGAAATGTTTACTGAGAGACATAAAAGGAAGCCAGTAGATCAAGGACAAGTAAAAGAGAGGTCTGATTAAAACTGGAATCTAGAAGTTTGCAATGGTGCTTGTCCTCATGGTTGAGTTACTGTTTCCGTTTGTGCTTGGCACCCCAGGCGTGGTGGCAAACAAACAGCACTGTGAAATCAATGTCACCTGGCAGGTGTGGCCAAAGTCCAGGGCCCAGGCAGTCAAGGAGGCTGGGAAGAAAGAAAGCCAAAGACAGGCAAAAGAAATGTTTATAAACATGGATATGAATAGAACCATATAATTATGTAGCTAAGTAATTGATTAAATGAAAATTAACCTAAGCCAGTTTTTCCATGGCACTTTTTTCCATCCAGTTTCTAAGTTAAATCTCTGAGTTCATTCCCTGAAGTTCATCTTGCTCCACCTTCATTCCACAGACCTCTCAATTTCCATTTCCCTCTACCCTCTCTCTCTCTCTCCTCATTGCAGTTATCAGGTAGACAGAGAAGGACCTGAAGTTCTAGAGCTACTTTTGCAGTGAATACATAATATTTAAATAGTGATTGAATTGGTAGATATTAAAAACTCAGAACCCACAATTCTATATTTCTGAAGCAAAACAGCTATTTCCCATGAGTATTCCATTAACAGACAAAAGGCAGAACTCCACTAGCTAACCTAATATGATATTTACTTTAAATATGCCAAATGCTATTTATCCCGATTACCTTATTATATGCCCTGGATCTACTGGATAATTAAAGGGCAGCTGGATAATGAGGATAAAATCATGCCAATATTTTACAAGAACTGTCCTTTGTTTAATGAGTACTCAGAACTGATAAAAGTGTTATGTTGGAGCTGGGGAGATGGAGTAGGGGAACAGGGGAAGGCTGAACTCCCTTGTGTTTAACAAAACAAAAACCATATTTATTCTTCTTGGTAAAAGAGTTGGAGGGATAGATGGAAGAATATGAATATTTTTAGTTTTAATGGAATCAAATGATTCTTGGCTCATTTATTCTATTTTATGACATTATATTGCATCATAAAATATGAAAAATTAAACTTACCCTGAGAAGAAAAGAATACTACTTCCCTATATTTGTTATAAATTAAGGCATAAACTATCTTAATCAGAATTTAGGGGGGAAACCCTGGATAATCTGAGAATTCAGCAAATGATTGTGCTTTTTTGTAGGCTCTCAATAAATACTAACAGACAGTCATCAGAATTTAAATTTGGTTCCCTACTCCAACTCTCTGCCTTCTCCCTCCCACTGTAGTTAACTAAAATTACACAACCACAATATGACGATATGCAAGGCTTTGAACAGAACTTATGTTTCTGTCTCTTTGTGGAATGAATTAATCAATCTACAACATGGCTGATCTAGAATACTGTGATCCACAGCAAGCACTAAAAGTAACAAAAATCACTGTCCCTGTTGTTTGGAAGAAATGGTAATGAGGTTTATTGAGGTAGCGATAGGGAAAATGAAACAGAGCCCAAGGTTTGCCCCCATTCTGAATGGCATCAGTGTGGGTAGATGGCAAGGCAGTCAGTTTTCATTTATGAAAGGATTCACCAGGAACCTTTTAAGATAGGCTTGTTCAAAAGCTAGGAATGATGTCTATGTACATGAATGAAAGGAGATCAAAGTCAAGGTCTGAAGAGAAAAACTATCAGAATCCAGATGAGGTCACCAATGTCATTGACAGAAATAAGCACTTTCAGTATGACTGGGGGTATGATGTCTGGAATTTGAACATCCTCTCCTTGAAACAATTGAATCAATGGTCCACATAGCTTAAATGAATGCCTTTACTTAGCTTTGCTTCTTCCCTCCCTGGGGCTTTAAAAGATTCCTTTTACAAAAATAGACACAAGTTAAAGAAAGGAGAGGCCAACATGTCACAGGAAGTCTAAAGACCTATGGCCAGTGTATTCAGGTGAATCTCAGCAGTAGCATACCTCCTTCATGGACTTAAGCAAGTGAACTAACCTTGCTAAGCTTCGATTCTTCAGATTGGAAAAGGGTGATAATACCCACTTGTTGGGCTTCTTCAAACACTAAATGAGATAATGTGTGAAGTATCTACCATGGCATGTAATAGTTTCTCAGTGTACTTGCCTTTGTCATTCTTAACTAAACATTCAAACAACCTAGGTATGATATACCTGTACTAAAATCCACCATGTTGTAAATGAGGCAAGTAAACCATATCCTTGCCCAATGTCTCAAATGGGGTTCTTAAATTTGGTTCCTGGACGGTAACAATAGCAGCACTTGGGAACTTACACCACATCCAGACCTAATGAATCAGAAACTGAAGAGGCAGGGCTTTACCAAGCACTCCAGAAGATTTGCATGTAAACTGTACTGCTGTTAAAGCAGGTTAGTAATTCAGCATAAATAGGTATGATGCCCTCGGGTAAACCATTTATACTGAGTATAATCTTATATTTATCTACCCTGATCCACCTTGTGTTGGCTGTACTTTTCTGTATAGTGTTGGCCTTAAGTAGGGTCCATGTCCTGGATTTGGGGAATACAGAAATTTCAAAAATTTGCTCTACTGTTAGACCATGTGTTGAATCATGTATCCTAATCAAATCTGAAAAAGAAACAAAATCCATTATCTTCCTGTTGGATATAACCAGTTCTTAGTGGATGCCACTCTTCCCTTCTTCCCAACTGTATTTAGTGACTGAGTATCAAAGCAGGCCATCAAGAAAATTGAGATGCTTTCAACTAGTACACAATCTCAGTATCTCAAAACCAGTGGTGATTTTCAAAAGCCAGAGATAAGCTTTCGAGGGTTTCAGGGAACAGCATCAGCTCACAACTTCTGACTTCTGCAGCTGAGTGGAAGTGGATCCGTAGGAGAAGGAGATGCTGCCCTACTCTTTACTCAACACCTAATCATTTACTCCTGTGTTGTGTGCTGCCTCACCGTGTACTTTGAAATGACTCATCAACTGGTGTTTGTCTTGCTTTGGATTAACTGCACCTGTTCCTTCACTCTTCTACTCCTTAAAGGGAAGAGAAAAACAAAATACAGCCTTGAGCTTAAAACACATGCATTCACGAATGAGCTCTTTTCAACAATGCTCAAGAAGATTCAGAAAACAAAACCAGTTCTTTCTGTCTTGTATACACAGTGGCCACCAAAGGATAAGCATTGTTCTGTCAAGGTCTAATGCTTGCTAGAGTGATTGCTGGAACCTTCAGGGGAGAGAGATTGTGTTCATAATGAGAAGAAAATGGATTAATCAAAAATCTAGCCTTCAGCTGTCAGCACTAGAATACAATATGTCAATTGGAATATAAGCTGGCTTTGACAAGAATACCATCTTCTTGCTTTAGTCAGTCCTATTTGGAACGTTATTTAAGTAATGATTTTCTCCACAGCAAATGAATGCATACCAACAAAATCCATTAGCTATTAAAGTTATGGCATTCGTTTTAGAATAAAATGCTGTTGCAAAAGAAGGAAATAATATTCTAATATCTCTACTCCTGACAAGTCCAGGAGGAATCACTTTGCAAAAGCATATCCCCTTTATAAAACACAAGTAATTTACCTATTTTAATAAGCAGCATATACACTCTAAGATCATCAGAAGTTAAATTTAAAATAAGAACCTAAAATAAAAATTGGGCTGGGGATTTAGCTCAGTGGTTCCACCGCCTGCCTCTCAAGCACAAGGACCTGAGTTTGATCCCTGGCACCAATAAATAAACAAATAAATAAACAAACAAACAAAAATTTGTTCAAACTAGTATCAGTTTAGTGATATGACTCTTGGTCTAGAGGTATTCTATTTGTGTAGTTTCTTTATAGAATACACTGTGCTACCTACCAATGAATGTTCTGCATATCACCTCCCCCAACCCTAAACAAACGTGCAATCAAGTCATCAGAGTTACACTTCAAAGTGCTGCCTGATTCACAGCAGATGTACCTTTCCAACACTGTTCTTTGATTAAGGGAGGAACCTTGTGGATCAGAGCCCATAATTTGCAAACTTTCCAGGCATAAATGATGTGTCATCTGCACCTCTTCCAGTATAAGCATATAGGCAACCTAAACATGATTTGTTCACAAGTTCGGACAAATTTTCTTCATATTTTCAAAGCCAAAATTCCATTACACATTAGATTTTTATGGATTTCTACTTAGAATCTAGCCCTTGAAAGTTCTCCTTCACACTTCGCATCTCTGTTCTCCCCTAAGCACCTGTATCTTCACAGCACTGTGCCCTTATATTACCTAATAATATAATAATAAAGAATGTTTCCTTTTGTTTCTGCTTGTATAAACTGAGGATATGTTTGTTATTTTGGTTTAGATTGTAAATTTCTCCCAAAAGCTCATGTGTTGAAGACTTGGTCCCCAGTACAGCAGTGCTCAGAGGTGGAACTTTTGGGAAGTGATTGGATCATGAGGGCTCTGACATGATAAATGGATTAATTCATTTATGGATTCATTCTTTAATGTGTTATTTAGAGATAGTAATATTTAAAGATAATGTGATATTTAGAGATAGTTTCGGAGGTGAGAACTAGTTGGATGAAATAGGCCATTGGGGGAGTTTTCCCATCAGTCAAAATAAACCTTTCCTCCTGGAAGTTGATTTATCTCAGGTATTTTGTCACA